TGAGCTGATCCTTACTAATTCTTTCAATAGTGACACATTTTAGAGTGACTTAGTCTACATGTGGAGCTCTGATGTATTTGTGATGGGGCCCAGAGGAGAGGAAGAATTTGCTTGTCTGAATTAAGGGTGATACTTATCTCAGGTTATAGCTCGCTCACCAGTAAATAAAAAACTGCAATTCCAAGACTCAATTTAAAAAAGGAGTAGTTAGTACACTTAGGAACTGCCAAAATCCAGGAGAGAAAATAAACAAAAACAAAAAGAAATAACTCAATCTTGAAATCATTAGCTCTGTTAATAAATAAATATACAAATGTAAGCTCTTTCTAGAAATAACTAAAATTATTTCCATGAGGAAAAAATCTGGTTTTTTTCTACACTAGAATATTGAAGAAATCTTTGTGCTGATAAAAATATACTGAATGACACAATGAACTTGAGCAGAATTTGCAAGAATATACCAGACAAATGTAAGAGATATCATTAAGAATCCTAGGAATCAAATAACAATGTAAATGATGAAAACAGTGGGTTTCTTATTTCACGCACACACACACCATTTGATAAACTTTAGCAAATTCTGTCAGAACAAATTCTGGCTCTGTTACAAATTTATATCATTTTAAAAACTCAAAAATTAGAAATATATAAGGGCCTGCAATCATTCTGCTACCTAAAAGCAAAGTAGAGTTGAAGTAGTTAGTGATGAAATTATTATTGTTTGTCTCTACCTCTACTTCTTACATATACTTGGAAATACATAATTATAGTGCATATATAGTATATATTTATCAAAATAGTGAATAAAATGTTTTAAAAATCTTTTGCAAAAGCAGTCATTGACCCACAAAAGCATAGTGATATAATAATATACTTTATTAAATAATGCAAATGTCTATGTAATAAAAACAGACTATTATACCAATAGCACATGTTAAATAGGAAGGAAATGTCTTAAAATATTCAAAGAGAATATAAAATGATCCTGTAAAGAAACACTATGAAATTTTTAATAAAATGCAAACTGGATGCTTAAAGAAGTATTCTTTAAACATCTAATAAATAATGTACACATTAACACTATAGGGCACTCTAAAATTACAATTTTAAATGAGATTAAATGAACCCCATATATAAGATAAAAGGAAAACTGATTGTTTAATTAGATTCTTATTAAATACAATTTCCTAGGCATCAGATTAATAATGGATCCAGATAATAAAGCAGCTATATATATGGCCTTTTTCACAATAATTTAACAAAATGCAGTGAGCAAATAAACATATTTCTATATGTATTTAAAATACTTACTTAGCACATGGTTAAGTAAAGCACCCTAGACAAAGAAGAGGAAGAAAAGGATTTATGTTCATATGTCCTATGATCCATATAACAAGCAATCGATCATGTTTATCTGATTGCTGAGAATACATACAATTCAAAGAGAGACAACTGATTTATTTCCTCCTGTGCCCAAGAAACAGGCTAAAAACCAATGTTTCAAAGGGTTTAACTCCCCTAATATCCAGTTGATAATTTCACTGGGAGAGTACACTAAGTAACTACTTTTTAAACTAACAGAAACAATTAAGTGCATGTCCTATGCATATAATTTGTAACTAAAATAAATGTCAGGAAGAAGCGATATCCCCAACATGTGATTTGAAAAGGAATGTATGGTTTTTTTATGATCAAGTTGATCCATAATCAAGCTATTTTTTATGTCATGAAAACATTTTATTTAGATCCCTTCCAGGTCTATATGGAGTAAAATACAATACTGACTCTAAACATAGATACTATTACATCTGTTCACTTAAAAAAAAAAAAAAACAAACACCACCCTAAATACTGAGAGAATTCATAGATTGGATTTTTTTACTTTTCCATCATTCCATGTATAAGTTCTATACAAGAAAGATAAAAAGAATTGGTCTTGAATATTAATTTAGATCCCTTCTAGGTCTATATGGAGTAAAATACAATACTGACTCTAAACATAGATACTATTACATCTGTTCACTTACAGTAACCAATTACTGCAGTTACTCATTTTAAAAGATGGAGAAGATGCATGTCTGTGGCCCATGAGTTAAATCACTTTTAACATAATACAAACACGCACAAAATTCTGCATTCTACAATATTAGAGTAACATTTAATATCAATAAAGACATTTTTTCTTTTATTTTACAATCATAGTTTAAACCACTTATATAAGCATTTTCTAAACAAAATAACTAGAAAATGTCTTTATAGCATATTTCACAAATATAAGACTAATGTGAAGGCCTTACACACTTTTTTCATTAGTGCCACTATAGACTTTTATCACAGCCAGTAATGAATGAAAGAGTGGTAAGAAAGAACTATTTTTTATACATGAAAGTATATTCATTGGAAAAATATATGGATAATTATCAAAATCCTAATTCATATTTAATGATCACTTAAATAACAAGATCACTCCAGTTAGCTACATCTGCACAACCAGGTAACAAGATTAAAAGTGAAACAAAAAAATGAAACATGAAATCAAAGAATTCATATAAAAATACACAGTAAGGTCAACTACCTCTTCACAGCATGAGAGAATGATTCAACATTTCCATACCTGAAACACGTCTGCTTTGTTCTTTAATAAACTGATCTCCATCTGCTCATGCCCCTGGAAATGTTTCAGCCGTACAACCTGCTGTGCTCAAGCCCCACATAACTTTGTATTTACCTGTTCATAATTAACTAATTATGCCCTAATCAATAGTGTAGATCTTCATTTTACAATGTAAATCAGATAAATGAGATAATGGCTAGGGGTCAATCTCATTTTATTTACAAAGCCCAGCGTGAGCATCCAATTTCATTATTTCTTATGTGCCTGAACAGCAGTGAATCTTATCAGCAGACCTGCAGAAAGTCTTAGAGGGAGTGCTGGGAGAAAGAGGTCTACGTTTTTATTAAGAATGTATTTGCAAAGCATGTCCATCTCAGAAATATTTTTATGCACAATCCTTAGTATACGTAAAACGTAACAAAGTGCTGACTCAGATTACAGAAAAAGATTTCTGCCTTCATATGCCATACAGCACTAAAGCTGAATCTCTTATACAAGTTTCAACCCATCAAAAACTATTTCAGAAAATAAAATTAACAATGTTAATACTTCATTCTGCTGCAGAGAGTCCTTCTAAATTCCTTGAATAGATTTTGGTGAAATATTCATAAAATATGCCATACTGTGAATCAAGCAAAACAGTGGTAACTTTTGTCAAATAAAGAATATTAAGTGTTTAAAAAGGGGGGGGGGGAAGAGGGGACATCTGTAATAGTCTCAACAATAAAAGATTAAAATTAAAATAAAAAGAGTGGTCTCATTAAGTAGTAGAATATAAACCCAGGAAAATACGATAATGGGTGTGAATATTCTTATTGTTTATGGTCAGTAATCAGTTTTTAATATTATAAATGTAAAATTAGATTAAAATTCAAGAAACACATAATTAACAAAGATATTTAATGATACAGAAATATCATTTCTAAATTTAAGATGGATAAAGGTTAGGGCTAAATTTTGTTTTCATGTTCAAATATCCTAATTTCAAATCTTTTTCAAAAAGAATTAGAGGATTATGGATGAAGATACATGTTTCTTGATTCATTTCTGAATCTAAAATATTGCTTCCCTCATAATAGGTATAAAATAAACATTTAACTGAATTTATGAAAATGAAGAAATGATATTGTATGTGTTGTAGATGAAACTACCACAAACATTTTTATACGGAAACAAATATTTTTAAAAATGTAAGTGCCTTTTTAAGGATATTAAAACAACAATCAATCAATGTCAATCACAACACAATGATTCTTTCAAAAATATATACAAATGGTTCTCAAAGTGGTGTCCCTGGCCGGCAGCATCAGCATCACCTGGGGACTTGATAGGAATGCACATTTTCAGGCCTCACTGCAAACCCACTGCATCAGAAACTGCTGGGAGCCAGGAGGAGGGAGTAAAGCAGGGAGAAAGAAGAGGAGGAGGGAAATATGGCAGAAATCCTGATGCACTGTAAAGGCTGAGAACCACTACTTGTGTCATTCTTGTATTCCAGTCATTTCATTTCCTTTCTGATATTTTAGTGTTTTTTTCTTTCCCCGTTGCATAACAAACAGCCATCATTAATCTATTGTGCAGTTTTCTCTCACATTTGTCTGTGAATTGGTCCATATTTTATTAAGCACATATTAGTATTTTCTTTGCATAGCAACTGGACCATTATGGTAAAAATTAATTTTGTACCGTGAAAGCATTTAGATTATCTGGAGAAAGTGTTTTCTACTCCCTTCAGAAGTTCTCTTATTCCAAATACCTGTTTCTAGGACCAATAATTACGAGTTATGCAGTTTATATTTGTGATGGGTGACAAATATTCTTAGGGCTAGCCTATCTACCACTGAAGGCTGCAAGACAGAGAATAATAATGTAGTATTCTAATTAGAACCAGGGTGGAAGGGATTGTGATTAATGGTTATACCAAAACCACAAGGCTTAATGATTTCTAAGGAAATCTAAAATTATCACTAGCAATTTCTCACCATATATCAAAGGAGGGCCAGGGTATAACACATTAGCACATTCTTTTCAGAAAATGGCAATGTGTAATTTTTCTTAAAATCAGTTGGAGTCCAGGCAATACTAATAATTATCAACATTAGTAAACTTATGTAGTAATAAATAGTAAGTCCTTTCTTATTCTTAAAACAAAAGCTTACTGGTTTGCTATAGGTAGTAATACTTTTCCTCCAATGTTATAAGAACTTTTGATAATCCTTAATCTCAGTTTATACATATTTTATATACATATTACTATTATCCAATAATATGGTTGATTACTATAACTATAGATTACTAGTAACTTTACACTTGCTTTTGATTATCTATCACATTGCCTACTCTATTCCTAAAGTTTAAACTATTTCATTTGCCACTATACCTGAAAAGATGTCCAAAACCACATTTATAGATCAAGAAATTCCAAGAAGCAAGTTGACAATTTACATGTATATGTGCATTTCAATTTCAGCAAAGAGTCTCTTCTAAATCAGTTCAAGATGGAGTGATGAAATATTCAACAAATTTCTGTAGTTGCCTTAAACCTCGATCATTAAAGCTTGAAGATCAAAATTTAATTCTGTAAACTTCTGGAAAGATAAAGATGTTGATGAAGATCTTTCAGCTGGCAACTTGTATAGTCAATAAGCTTTGTATCTCTCTCCTTATTTCTTAACCTCATCCTTAAGGTTGAAAAAATAAAATTATACTGAATACAGAAAGTTTGTATTATGTCAATAAGGACTGAATAAATTTGGGCATTACTAAAAAATATCTAGAGATCAACACAGACATACTCTTACTTAGGAGCTTCAAATCTGAAGTTGTAAAAATTTCATGCTAATAATACCAGCGCTTTCACACAATGAGTCAAAACTAGAATACATATGCTTTACAAGTCTTTCACTCTTACTGAATATGATAAATAGAAATAATGTTTAATGTAAGAGTCTATAATTGTTTCTCAATGTAGCATTTCATATATGAATATATATATTGAGTTGGATGAAGCAGAATAGCAGACTAATGGAATGCATTGTCTTTCTTATTTGTTACTGGTAGTGATCAACAACAGTAATAGCACATTGCAGTTAAGTCCCATAGGCTTCCATAGCTCTTCAGTAAGTCCAAATACTGTATATCATCATTTGCCAAAGAAGCAAGAGGGAAAAACATTACTTAATAGGACAATTCTGACAAGACATTATCTAGTATTTTTCAACAATGCACATATCAAATATTTCTGATTAGTGCAAAAAAAAAATAGAAAAAAAAGTCCACACAGGCAAATTAAATGCCTTGTCAGTCCAGGTAACAAACCAATCAATTACATTCTATCCAAACCTGACAAGCAAAGGCAACTTTTTGCAGTGATAAGCTTATGGGAAGGACAAGATAGCTGTTCTCCTTTACTTTATGTACTCTATTGAGAGTGTTATCCACATTTTTAAAATCACACTTATAAAAGAGGTTTCCAGGATTGCCTCCGAGGATGAGCTGTGGCAGAGTTGGGTCTCATGAAGGGTATCTACACAGTAAAGTGATAAGAAAAGAACATTAACATTTAAAGATCATAGCACTCTGCACTATGTCTTACGAAACATACTAACAACACCACAGTAGATTCAAATAACATATGATCTGGTCCAGAGATACATACCCTAAACCTAAATGCCAAGATCTTGTGTAGGGTTTTTACTAGTTAAAATGGAACTAATTTTTCACTTGAAACATTGAGTTGCCTCTCTTTAATTATTATTACTTTTAGTTGTGTCAGAAAAAGTCTATCTTACTAAGACAAAACAAAAATAAATGATGAAGGGTTTGTATTTACATAAGCAAACATGTATTTGCTTAATAAATGTCTTAAAAAATAGCAGTGTGCTATTTTTCTCATCAAATATGGCATTTTAACAACCCTTGAGAAAGCATGTAACTAACTGTGCTGAAAACAAGCACACCTAAACCAGTATGTACAGGGCTGGTTCTACCCAACTCTAGAGTCTTAGGGAGTAAATTTTCAAGTGATTCTTATTCCCTGTGCCAACACTGTCTTCTATTAAAAAAAAAAAAAAAAAACTATCCCAGAAATGTTTGGTTACAATTGTGAAAATTATATCCCTAACTAGCTATTTTAGAGGATTGTGCAACAAGAACAACAGAGAATACAACACACTGTAAATACCTGGTCATTGATTTTAAATACACCAATTTTAGCCAGATTTTCAAAACTCATACACTTACATTTATTTCTCAAGACTTTCTCTATTGTTTCTTGTACTGATTTCCCCTATTAACATATATCCATTTGCTACCTTTGTTCCTTTACTTTCAGAGGAGAAATTTTAGGTGCATAGTGATTAGAATTTTTTTTTACTATGGTAAACATAAAAATTTATCACTTTACTCAGATATTTATATTAGTGTAGATGAGGGGAAATTGGCAAGTAGTCACACATCATAGAAAAAGTTCATTTTGATATTTAACTATTAGAGAGATGTGTTTAATGCTTCTAAGTTCCATTGAGAAAAAGAAAGTGAAAAGTGGCACAATCACAGACAAACACAGCACTACTGAGAACAGCTACCATGCTGAACTGAGTAACCGCCAAAGAAAGCCAAAACAAAAGTGTACAAGGAAAATAAAGAATATAATGGGAGAGTTTTCAGAGAAATGTACTTATCGACACATGAGAAATAGAGTTGAATCCGCTTGCTGAATAACAGGAAAATAGATAGGAAGAGTTTAATTCCCTTGTTGAATAGTTACATGTGCTAACTTTTCTCAATGCTTCAGTCTTTCAATGAGAGCTTTAGGCACACCCTGAATCATATATTCTGAGCATTGCTTTGTCTATAGGTTAGGCACTACCAGGTCATTACAATGCAAGAGGAAGCAACCACATCATTTACCATAGAAGTGCAATGAACTCTTAATTACAGGCACAAATGATGGAGACTAGCAGACAACACTAAAGATATACGTGTATTCAATTTTGATAGGAATATGAATATACATGCATTGGGTAACAGGAAATCTGCTTTAACCACCAATTAAATATAAGTTGACGTTTAACTTTGAAAAAAGATAAAAAGCTATCGATAGTATTCTTCCATCCTAAAATTTCACTTAATATTCCAAATCTCCCTTAAAGCCAGAGTAAGCAATGTGACTGCCTTGGCTGCTATCATCCTGGGATAAAAGACTTGCAGTCTTGTACTTGAGAGATCAAGTTTTAGCTTTGTCTTCATTCCCTGTGAACTTAGTATGCTTACTTACAAATTAATGCAGAAAAAAAGATATTAAATAATTTCAAAGGACTTCTCTGATGTATGCACATGTAGTCTGTACCTTATATAGGTGGAATTGCCTGCTAAGAAGAAGCATCTACTTCTTTTCCCCCCATGATGTCAAATATGCTAGAGCAGTATAGTTGGTGAGGCAGTATGCCTTCAAGAGCATGACTACTCAGTTAAGACTGCCTAGACTCACACACCAATTCTGCCATTTTTAGTTGTGTGATCAAGGACAAGTAATTCTTCTAATTTTCCTCACCCATAAAGTAGGGGTTAAATCAACACCTATCTTATGGGGTGGCTATGAAGATTACTTGAGATAAAATACAAAAGGCACCAGCACATTGGCCCATAATAAATAAGCACTCTATAAATCTCAGCAACCAATATGAAGAACAGTAGATTTATCAAACACTATAGAAGTGTTCAGTGGAAGGGAAAAAACTATATTCTAATACATAATTTATATAGTATAATTTCAATATATAATTGGAATAATTTCTATTTCATGATGTTTAGTGTCTATGTACCTCAGTTACCTAATCTCCAAAATGGAGATGTGAAACCTCATAGGACTACTGAAAAAACTGAATGAGCTAATACACTTAGCAGAGAATAGAGTCTGGGAGATAGTAAGGTCTAACATTAGCTTTATTTTAATTCTCAGTTGATAAAGTCTTTAAAATAATATTTCTGGGTTTAATTATAATTAAAAATAAAAGATTTTTATACATTATGACCTAGATATCAAAATCTATCAACTCCAAAATGTTTATCCAATCTTATTTTCAATTTCTGTTCACCTTTAGTTTTATTTCATATGTCCAAAACTATACAAAAATAATACAAATCAAAACATTGTTACAGGAGGAACATCTAAAAAGGATGTTTGATTTTACAAAAAGAAGAAAAATAAGAAGAGAATATACTGCAGGTCATCTAAAAACATTTCATTGAACATAGTTTCATTATAATGTTGTTAGGATGTGTGGGAACTTAAATCTTGTTTATATCAATTAATCCACGGTAAAACTGGTTTTGCTTTCATTTAAAGTCGCAGAACCTATCCATGGCATTATTGAGGACATGACAGTAGCAATTGGTTCTAATACTAGAAGCTGGATTATGCTTGTTTTGTATGATTCCAAGCACTGAAATTATTGAGAGACCTGTCAGCTCTCTTGGAGAGAAAAACTGCCAATGGTCTGAGCTGCCACAAGATGGAATATGTTACCTACTTCTATCCCCGGCAGAAGCTCCTTCCTTGTCACTTAGTAGTGATACTGGGCAGATAATTCAAGTCAAAGATGAATAATGGAATAACAGAGTTGGAGAGCATTTTCAGGACTGTATAGTGTTTGTTTTGGCATCTCTTTGAGTTATAAAAGTTACAAAATTTTAGAAAAAATGAGGTTGAGCCCGCATATAACAAATGAGAAGATAACTTTAGAAGTAACTTAATTCAAGGTCATTCATCTAGAATTGGGGCTACTGTGCCAGTCTTTCCAAACAACTGAGTATATAATAAGTAATCCCTTCTTTAAAAATTAGCAATATTAACACACTGCAATTAAAAATAATTTTTAAATTACAAAAGCAAATTTTACTAAAAATAAATGAGTGAAATGAGAAACATTTCATTGCTCTATGTGCTTAAAATTTTGATGTTTACTACTCTAAAATTGTATACTCCAGAAATACCACACTTCACTATGTAATTAATGTATACTATGTTCAGGCTTCTGTTTTCTTTACTTTTAATAATTAACTTTACTTTTTTTAATTTTAAAAATTGAAATGTTAACACATAAGATGAAAAATAGTAAGGAGGGTGTTTTATCTTGAAGGCTGTTTGCTGGGTTCTGTTCTGAAAGAGCTGCATTCAATACCAGTCTTTGCAGGTGACACTCATCATGATCTCCGCTACTCAAATTAATAATCACTGGGCCTGGTTGCAAAGAATAATGCAAAAAGGATATTCAAGTAGAATCTGCAGACGTTTCGTGATTACTTCTGGTATTACATTTCTCATCGTTCATAACCTGATGACCATTTATGACAGATACTGGGAGTCGCACGGGCCAGTGGCGATCCAATGAGAATTATCAGGGTGTTTCATTAACAAGGATCAAATTGATGCCTCAAAAAGAGAAACCAATGGACACCACCTCAGGATGGTCTTAAATTAAATCTGGACACCTTTGGGCTTTAGGGCCTTTTTAAAGTTTCTTGAGCATTTTTTAAGTAGAAATAAATTCTGGCTTCCAAAAAAAATTATGAATCATGAAAAGTTATTTAAAGATTTAATGTTTCAATAGATTTTGAAAGTCAAGGGATATCACACATTAAATACTAAATTTGTGAGACAGGCTAACCATTCCACACATCTAACAAAATCATCAAATCAACTTAATTATAAAAGAAAAATTACACTAAGTAAACATTTCCCTTTTAACCCAAATTTTGTCAGAATACCACCTTAATAAGAAAAATTAAGTGGCAGTTCGGCTACTTTCACTATATAAATACAAATATTTTGAAAATTAAACATCTCTTCCCCAATTTTTACTAATAGAAAAACTATTTAAAAATAACTTTTAAGTAGTTTCCTTCACAAGACCCAGTTTATTTTCTAATTTCCCCTTTAGAATCTCTTCTCTTCATGATGTACAATGCAGCATCAGTTTAGGTCTAATGACATTAACTTAAATCAGTGACCATAGTTTTTATAAAGCCAGATTTATGGGAAAAGGCCACATTATTGGTGATAGATATGGCCAAGTAATTTATAAGAACAGTTATGTAAAGCATTTGATTTTAGATTTTAACTGTTCTGTGCTATAAGACCTCTCTGTTACCCTAAATTGCTTAGTAAATGCTCAAAACGGCCTTGGAAGGATGGTTATTCGGAAGAATAAAGTAAAGAACAGCTGATTTCAGTGGCGAATGAAGAAGCAGAGAACATATGGCCTTCTCTGAATATTACGGAGAATACCGGAGGGCTTTCAACAATGAATGGAGTTCCAATTTTGATCATTTTATCAGGCAAGAGAAAGACCCAGAGGCTGGGGAATTAAAACATATTAAGTCTACAGAATGTGGTTATACATTAGCAATAAAAATAAGGAAAGTCAAGGCAAACAGGTCCAAAGAGGGCTAAGCAGAAGTGAGAAAAACAGAAAGAAGGCAAGAGGAAATAATGAAGCAGCTAAGGTATACAGAATAATGTAG